CAAAACTAAATTTAAATGAATCTATTCGCTTTTGACGTACTCCAGTGTTGAAATTGATTGCAATGGCGAAAATTTGAATTTTCTACAAGAAGCTACTAGGAACAAGTGCCACGCTAGTAGTAACAAGTGCCTTACTAGTAGTAACAAGGACGCTACTAGGAACAAGACAACGATCAGCCTAGAGTCTCAGGAACGGAGAAACAAAAACAGTTATCAAGCGACTGGTGAGTGCTTGCTTGACCAAAAAGAAACACGCAAAAGGCCAGGTCTGGTAGATGTTGTTTTACTATCATTCAAACCTTAAAACATGAAACGGCTTGTTATGAGCCTGTGATTTTTTTGCTCACAAGGTATCTCATGTGGGGAGTTGTTGCTCTCCTCTTTATTCTGAGCTTTGGGCTTGCCACTTTCAACAGGCCTTTGCATCAGAAATTGAACAAGTGAAAAACCTGACACAACTCAAAATGAAGTCTAGACTACTCCACTCCACAGACTTTGGTTAGTCATGCAGACTCAAAAGCACTTAAGAAAAGTAAATAGGCTCACACACACACAATGCTCAACAACTTGACCAAGCAATTCTTTTACACATCCATACTACTTTGATCCTTTGGACTAGTTTGGACATGATTGAGTTTTGGGAGTTATAAGTCTTAAGGATTATATATTATTGATTTGTCAGCATCACTCATGAACCGAGATTGCATTCCAAAAGCGTTGTTATTCACCAAGTGTTTTCTCCATTTGCATTTCAGGAATTGGTTTTTGATTGGTCTCCAACTGCTAGACGTTTATTCACTACAATGGTATATTTTTTGGTGTTGTTGTTCTCAAATGTTTCCACCGTGTATTGGCAGGTAGGTATCGGGGTAGGTACTTTATATCGTGTAAGGCTACAGTGTTCTAAACCGCGTCTAGGTCCTCGATCCATATAGACAAGAGCACAGTTTCCCTAGCCTTGTGCAAAAGCTTCATGATAGAACACTTTGTCTTGCAGCAGCAAGGTCCTCCCACATTCATGTTCTGTTACTCAAGTCTTCTCCTTTCACAAGTCTAAATCTTTATGACACTTCAAACGGCATTTGCTTTGATCAGCAACAAATCTTTTTCATTCCCAAGTCTTGTTCAAAAGGTCTCTGCCTTTCGAAGGTCTTCTTGATTCTTTCACAAGAGTTTGTCTGAAAATAGGCTTATCCTTCATGAGAAGGTTCCTCCTTTGCAAGGGTCGCAATTTTGAAGGGTCTTTCTTTGAGAAATCCACATTCTATAAAGAAATCAGCCTTGGTAATCAAGAAGCATCCTGCAAAAGGGTCTGCCTGTATAGCGGAATAAGTGAAATAGGGTTCCGCTCCTCTTGGGCCTGAACCTGTGTAAACTAAGAGCATGCACCTTGGTAAGGCATTCTTGTGATTCCATCCTTCCATGCAGATCTTATGCTTGATAACACGTTCCTCCTTGTTCACAAAGTTATGACTAGCTCTGGAGCCCTCTTTCAACATGTGTCATCATTGAATTGAAACATATCACATATCAATCTCTTTAAACAATTTCTCTATCTTATCAAGAAGCATCCTCTATCATCCGAGTCTGTGCCGTTACAAGTCTACACACTTAGACAAGTGTAAGATTCCTGCATCAAACTGAAGATCTGACTACACGAATGACGACATATCCCCCGAAGAGTAAGAACGGTTTATCTGAAGATCACAGGCTCACAATAGTGCTCACAATATATACCTTACTAGTAGTAACAAGTGCCTTACTAGTAGTAACAAGAAGCTACTAGTAACAAAGTGCATCGCTACTAGGAGCAAGGACGCTACTAGTAGCAAGTGCATCGCTACTAGGAGCAAGGACGCTACTAGTAGCAAGGACGCTACTAGTAGCAAGTGCATCGCTAGTAGTAACAAGTGCCTTACAAGTAGGGTTCGCAACACATTCCGATCCAGGCCCAACAGTCAGCGGAGCTTGGAGAACCTTGTCAGCGCACCGCAGGCACGTGAGTAATCCAAGGGAGTGGAGGGTGTTTGCAATTTTCTCCACCCAAGACAGTGTTTTTGTTTATTTTGTTTTTTTTTTCCGAGTGCCTTTTCCAATTGGCAAATTGTTGCACATAGCATCAAGTGTTGTTTTTTTCATGTTGTTTGCAGGTCGGCATATCCATTAAGCATCATTGCGCACAGACTCTACAGATCGAACATTCCAGTAAAGCGGAGGATCAAAGGATAAGGTGCTAAGTTTATTGAAGAGTTGTGCGTGCGGTGAGAATTGAATTCCGCATCATCATGGTGTTGTCAAAGTTGTATCAGTTCATGTTCTTTGCGCGTGCGCTGTGTTTGAGATTCTTGTCAGTGAACCCCAAATGTTTGGAAATGCAAGGCTTCCAAACCGGCATCGCCTGCAGCTCCAAAACCAGCCGGGCTCTCTGATGGACTGAAACTTGGCCTCGGCTTCACACGTTGCTTCTTTTTCGTGTCTTGTTTCTGACAATCTGAGTGTCTTCACTGAGCTCTCTGAATGTGTGGACAGTTTAGAAGATGGGCACAAGAAACTCTGCAAATGGTCCGTTTTCAGGAGTCGTTGGCGTTCCTCCATACATTTCGATGCATATATACAGCATTTACAACAGTATTTCCAGTGTTTTGCAAGAACTTTTAGTGCAAGGCTTTCAAGCCTAGGAAGCTTAGGTAGCATCAGCTAATGCTACTTAAGCTTACTCTTAGACTCGTGTTCGCTACCACTTAGACTTACCGTCGTACCTTCCCTAATACTTCGATGTTACTATAAGTTAACGACAAGTTGCTATGGTGACTGCAGCGTAGTTTTGAAAAAGTTGTCTTCAGTCCACCTCACATTCTAGTGAGTGGTGTGCAATCGAGTTGCTTTGACCGCAAGAGGCTTCAGTCCCCAGCACGCCACTGCCTCAAGTCTCAGAGTTGACAATCCAATTTGCTGAATGATGAATCCAATCTAAAAGCGATGGCCTCCAACCTAATAGGACTCCAATCTCGTCATTGTTTGTGTTGCTTTTTGCTGTTCGATAGAACCGCTTCAGGCAATCAGTCCGGCGGAGCAAAGGAAAGTTGTGAAGGTGCGAACATGCACGAACCACAATGCGTCCCTGCTCCTAGTAGCACAATGCATTGTGCAAAGCATTGCATTTTCCCTTGGAAATCACTGTTGCTTATATTCGCAGCCGTTGCGAAATTGTGATGGACTCGAACATTCACATGAGACTTCGCATCAGTTGTTTCGTATTAGAGCAATTTTGCAGAGTATTTGGGACTTTAGTGGCTGCTGTGGAATGTGGAAAGTTTCGACAAGGCTAATTGTTCAAAGCCTCCAACGGCCCAACGTGTGTTGACTGCTTGTCCCTTCCTGTTACTAGTAGTAAGGCACCTGTTACTTCTAGTAAGGCACCTGTTACTACTAGCGTGGCACCTGTTCCTACTAGCTTCTTGTTACTAAGAACTTTCAGTAGTTTGTGAGACACAGCATAGCAAGCCTCACCTTTTGCAGTCTTAGCGCGACCGTCACAAGATAGTCAAACATCCCGCCGGATTTGTTCGGCTGACGGTACGAATGATTCCAATCGTTTTGTTTTGCCACGCAAAGTGTTGCACCCTCTACAAAGTGAGGTTTCCCAGTGGCTTAAGTTTCCCTAAAAATCTAGAAACCAAATCATTAGTGCCAGCGCTTCTTCAAGGAAGCTTCCTCCGCTGCGGGCGGCGGGGGGAGCTTCCTGGAAGAAGCGTGAGCTATCCTGCGTCCTAAGTAGTAGCTACTTTCGCTATTACTAGCTACCTAGCTACTACTAGCTACCTAGCTACTAGCTCTACGGCCTACCCCCCAAAAAAAAGACAAATTGGGGGCATCTCCGTCTCCGAATGTGAGGTTAATGTCACCTGGAGGTGCCTTTGGCATCGTTTCGGTCGACTTCCATCCTGTTTCTGTCATCGCTCCCAGCGCCGCACTTGCCTTTGTTTGTTCGAAGGATGGGTGAAGCCTTTCTTGATGCTTCAAGGAATCCACACCTCCACATAACCTTGCCACGGACACCAATCCTGCACTTAGCATGGAAAAGGTCGCCAGCATTAGTTGAATTGACGCAAGACAAAAGTTCTTGTTTTTCTGCAAAGTTTGGTAAGCCGAAACTCCATTTGCCAAGACAAAAGTCCTGTATTTGTAATCATCAATGGGTCGAACAGCAGAAAATGTACATCAAGATGCAGCTGTTTCCAGCAGTTTGAACATGTGTATGAAGAGAGTTTGCTTCACCTTCGTTGAACTTCCCAACTCTTCATAGTTTGAAAGATTAAGGTTCGAAGATCACGAAAGCTAGCTGTAGCTAGCTGGAGTCTGTTTTGCTTTAGCAAGGAGGGGTGGGAAGCCAGGACCTGAGTCCTACCCCCTGATACATCAGGGATATACCCCCCCGGGTTCAACTCCTCCCTTCCGCTTCTCAGTTCCCAACGTGGCTGCTATTGCTGTTCCTGCTGTTTGCTGATGCTGCTGCTGTTGCTCCTTGCTCCTTGCTCCTTGCTGCTTGCTGCTTGCTGCTTGCTTGCTGCTTGCTGCTTGCTGCTTGCTTGCTGCTTGCTGCTTGCTGCCTGCTGCCTGCTGCCTGCTGCCTGCTGCCTGCTGCTGCTGCTGCTGCTGCTGGTGCTGGTGCTGGTGCTGGTGCTTGGTGGTTTTCCTCTCCTCCTGCTGCTCCACGGTTTACCCGTTTACGCCAAACCACAGTTTGCACCAACCACCGTCTACACCGAAACATGGTTTACACCAACCACAGTTTACACCGAAGCATCCTAGGCCAGCAATGGTACATTGAATTTCCCTGAGGCTCCAACCTCGATTAAAGCAATGCCGGTTCTTTTGACCTCCATATTATCGACCTTATCCGAAGACCCTCCCAATCACGCTCATTCACGCTTCATTTTAACATCACTCCTATGGTCAGTGTTGAGGGTTTGCCCTCAGATATTGTTGGGACTGCATCTTGCCTTCACCTGGGTTCTAACTTTTGGGACGGCCCAATGCTTCCAAGGTTCGTGCCCCACACCGCTCCCTTCCCTAGCTTTCGCCACCCCGAAAACAGGCCACACGTACATGGATTGGCGACCAAAATTGCACCAGAGCACCCTGAAAAAACACCCGACCAAACGGCATGAAGAGGACGGACCTTTTTTTCCTCCCTCAGATTGATGCGTGCCTTTCAACAAAATGTGGTCAGGGAGTTGATGTTATACAAACCGGTGACAATGTCGTGCAGACCGCAACAATGATGCGCAATCGATGAAGGTTGATCTTGATTCAACATCGGCTAACCTCCCAAGACACAATTTCAATCGCACGGCCATGCGAAGGCAAATGTTGTGATATGTTGTGCAACCGATAATGTTGTGCAGCCAAAAGCAAAATTGCTCAGCCGGTGATAATATTTTGCAGCCCATAACATCACATAACGTTGTGCAGCCAATGACAAGGTCCTATGACATATCATATTTGCACGTTGGTGATAGAACAAACATTAGAAACCGTTTGAAACCGGGCGACACATCTATCCACAGGCAGCTCATTACGACTCATAATCATGGACGGATTGCTGACTGTGCTTGAGAGTGTGGATATGCATATTGTTGTGTCAAGGCCTAGGCCACAATGTTTCAACATACACGCCACTGATCTTTTGTGGCACCAGGTCCACTCATTGTGGCATGCAGTCACATTCATTGTGTTGTGGCATCGGACAATGACAACATGTTTTGGAATGTTGTCATTGGGACCATGGAGTGGAATCACTCGTTTACATCTGTGAGGTGCTGAGCGCTGGCTTATCTACAAAATCCTCCGTCCTTTGCAGCTCAAACATGCGGATTGTCGCTGTGTTCTTCGATTGGTAGAAAGGCTTTGCTGAACTGTTGTTTGCCTGTGTTTTCAAATTTGAATCTATTTGGGGCGTGGTTTCGTGTATAGATTTGGCTTTAGCCTCCACAAATTGATGCACCACATGCTGGTGTTTGATATATTTGTAAGACTTGCAATTATCGTTGAAAATAGGTACAGTACAGAGCAGTATGCAGTACGTCCAAAATAGGAGCAAGGACGCTACTAGGGGCTCCTGGCCTTGCTACGAACGGAGCGATCGGAGGCTACTATTGCCCTAAGAGTTGAAGGCCTTTGGGCGCCATGGAAGGCCTCGATGCTGCTGTCCATTCGGCCCTTGGGGACTTGTGTGAGAGGCTACACGTTCGCCTGGAGGTAGAAGCGCAGGCCATTCAAGATCGGCTGAAGGAAGAACTGCGACAGCTTTGGGAGGTAGAAGCGCAGGCATTCGTGCAAGGAGTGTGTAGAGCTCGAAGTTCACAAGAGATGGGAGCTTCTCCAAATCCCGTTTCACCCACGCTGTCTCTTTCAATGAAAGTTTTAGATGGAGATCCAGAAGTTGAGAGAAGTCCTGAAGATGGCTTCAATCAGCGCCCGCCGAATGATGCACACAAGGCCATGTTGACAAGGTCAGACAGTTATGAACATGCCCAAGCGAGAGCACCTCGACCTCTTAGGACCAAGATAAGAACTATGACCTATGAATTCAAGTATTCAAATTGGAAGGAGGCGGTCACAACCCTGGCGCACTCCGCATTTTTCGATTTGTTTTGGGCCTTGGTGATCGCTTCAAATGCAATCTACCTGGGTGTGACTCTGAGTATTGCCAACCAAGAAAACCTCATGGCTGTCCATGTGGCGTACGCGATCCTTTTTGCTGTGGAACTCCTCATGCGACTGCTGTCTGTGGGATGCCGACAATATTTGTGGGGTCCAGGCTGGACCTGGAATTGGTTAGATGTGATTGTGGTTTCCTCATCTTGGCTCGACATTCTCTTGGACGTCGTTGGCAGTTGGCCCGGTGGTGAGAGCGTGGGCTCCAGTTTCCGGGTCTTGCGGCTCTTGCGCGTGTCTCGCCTCTTGCGGATCGTGAAGACCTTGTGGATCATTCGATTTGTGGGTGCCTTGCGGACCGAAGAGTGTGGGAAACAAGAAGCTAGTAGGCTACTAGTAACAGGTGCCACGCTAGTAGTAACAGGTGCCTTGCTATTAGAAACAAGAAGCTAGCTAAGTGCCTTACTAGTAGTAAAACAAGTTACTGGCTTTACTGGCAAGACCTGCATCCCTGCTATGCAGGACCTTAGTCTCCTCACTGGTGGACACTTTGAAGCCTCTCTTTTGGGCCATGCTGCTCCTATTGATCATCATTTACATTGCAGGAGTGCTCTTCACAGATGTCGCTCTCCAGCACCATGCAGAGACTGGAGATGGTGATCATCATCACGCCATGATGCGCTTTTTCGGTTCTTTGGGCCTTTCAGTCCAAACACTCTTCAGAGCTATCTCAGGAGAGGGGGGGAGCGGGATTAAAAAAAAGAAAACACATATAGTTACTAGTTACTAGTTACTTAGTAGTAATGCCCTTTGTTACTAGTGGCTTCTTGTTCCTCGTAGTAATGCCAGGAGCCCCTAGTAGCGATGCCCTTGTCACTAGGCACTTTTTCGGTGGCCTTTCTGTCCACTCTTCAGAGCTATCTCAGGAGGCATTGACTGGGCTGAAGCTGCAGAGGCTCTTCGTCCTTTGGGAGATTTTTGGGTTTTGCTCTTCCAAGTTTACGTTGCAGCTTAGCCTTGTTAGCACGAAACCAGCTTCCTTTGCTGAGAGGCTGAGCTTTGGGTGAGGGCCAGCTTTGCCTCATCTTCATTTTTCTTGGTGGAGTATAGAAGGTCACCAAACATGACTCAGAATAGCGACATAGCTTGGAAATAGGGATTGGAGTTTCCTCTACAACTTTGGAGTGGTTGGGTACGCTGAAAAGTGATTCTCTTACCTGACTTTTGTTGGTTGACGCTTGTAAGTTTCTCGATGTTAAAGACAATAATTGATGTTTTTTCAAGTTCGATTCTATATAGAGGTGTTGTAGTCATGGTGAGGTGGATCTTGGTCCCTCGAGCATGCTGATTCTGCAGAGAACTGCTAGCATTATTTTGCATGTCAGGAACACGCACAGAGACTGCGCACAAGTCTCCAGCACAGACCAGT